TATATACACACACACACACGTGATTCAGGGTCTCAGATCTGTTTTATAGCCTAACTTGTGTCAGTTGATAGCTATTCAAGTGCAAATATTTGGGTTGTACTGCAATATTTTACTAAGGGCATTATATTCAGCTTTTACATATATAATATATATAAGTTACAAAATCACTTCAGTGGTTTTTTTTCTAATGGTGACTTGCCACATATAAAAAACGTTGGCCTTTATCACACTCAGGAAGTGCTCCTAATAAGCCAATTTATGAAGCAGTATCGATCCCAGCTCTTAACTTCATTCAACTAAACCAGGTGTATACATGTTACTCCTCAGGGCTCTTAACCATTGCCTTAATGTGTGCTAAAGCTAAAGTTTGTAACATTAAATAAACATGGGTTTTTATCTGACTTTAGTACATAAGTCGAATATATATATATTCAGCTCATTGGTTTTATAGTCCCTATGCCATTTTCTTGTAATGTTTGGCTCTCCAGCTGTTGTGAAACGGCAAAACCTCAGTGTGCCTTGTGCATGGTTTATGTAGACATAGACAATAGAAGGGCATGTTTTGTTGGGCTGTACAAGATCTGCCAAGCCATGTGTAGAACAGATACATTCTTTGAGAGGGTCCCTCTGCAGCACAACATAGCAAAAGGAACATTCCCTGTGCTCTAGAATGTGGAATGGTATAAGGGCTGTTGCATGAAAAATGCTCCCACTGGTATCAGTGGATGTTATATTAATTTACTGGCACCCTATATTTGTGTCACAACTATGGCTGATCTTTGATGGGATGAGCTCAACTATTCTCTATTAATGCATGCTAGCATCTCTGGCAACAAGCAGTGTTGGAATTCTTACTTGTAATGTTGCACATTGATGACTTAATAGAATATAAAATCATTGACCTATTACTTAACTCTCTGGGTCAGAAGGGGTCCTCCAGTTGAGGACCTATTGGCATAGAAGCTTCACATTAGTTCATAAGCTACTGGTTATCTCTCATAGAGATTAAACTGGACCTGTCCAATACCCTCAGTATTGGTACCTATTTTGTGGGTCAATACTACTTGGCTCATCAGTTTACTAGTGACATCACAGAGACATACATGAGGTTTCTAGTGAATTGACTGGCTGCAAATATACATTGGGTCAAAGAACAAAATGAATACAAGTGATATGCCCACTCTACAAAAATGTCATTGTACCGTTCAATAGATTCATGAATGCACCGGGTATGACCTTTGTTATGGAAGGACACCATCCAATTCATAGCATTTTTTATTTTAATGTGATGTTAACTGTATGTTTTATGTGTGCCCAGCCCTTGGTTTAACATGCTGACTGATAGCACAGCTCTTGTAAAGTAGAACAAGGGAAATTTTTGGTCCATCATGAAAACAAAGCCTTTTCCTGGTATAAGGATAGCTCAGTTATGATAAGCTGAGTAGTAGAAGCCACACACAAAATATACTTCATTTTTTAATATGTGTCTGACTGTTAGAGCTGTGAGGTTGTTTTTCACAAACAAACTTTTTACACTGTAATTAAATCTTGCTGCTGCCAGTTTGTACACAAATGCTGGTTAGAGGGCCTCTTCTTTCATCTTTGCCGATCCTTGGTGTTTGTATCAATTAATTTCAACAGAAGGGTCATAAGGCATTTACCCCGACTCCTCCTGTTTGACTTTGCTCCTATACTAAGCGATAGCTTTTAACACTGGTGTAATCTGAAGAGAAACTGCTCCTTTTATTGACCTACCTAGATGTTTGGTTTTTTTTATTGCGTATACTGTATGTGCTTATGCTAAAAAAACTTTTTTATGTATGTGGGTCTTTTTTTATTGCATATGAATTCAAAAAAAGTGAGGCAGGGATTCTAGCAATATGTTTTATGCACTACCTGGCTACTGAGGAATCGTCTTTATTTATCCTCAATCCAGGCTCCAAATTTCAGGTCAGATATTCATCTGTTTTCTACCCAGTTTCATAGTTTCCAAAGTTGTCAACAGAGAGCTGTTGAAAATTGTCCCTTGACAAACACTGAAAGAAATCCTCAATGTTTTTGATCGTTTAGACAGGGGTAGGTAACCAAACTTTGGCCACCAGAATCTTCAAATCCCGTCATGCATCCACCTCATGAAGTCATCCCTGTGGCTGTCAGAGTGTTGTGATGTCTTCTGGGATTTGCAGTTTCACCTCAGCCAAAGAGTCGAAGTTTGGCTACCCCTGGTTTAGACTGTCAGCTGAAACAACCAATTATAAACCATTAAGAAACAGATACTTTTTCTAATCTGCACCATAGAAATGATCATGAAGAGACAACCTGCACCCGAGTTCTGAAGCAAGTTAG